CGCCGCCGGCGTCGCCTGCCCAAGGTATGCCCCCAGCGCCCATGCCCTCCCCTCCCCCGCTGCGCTATGCTCTGCCGCGGCAGCTTTTAGTTTGATTTGATCGCGTGACGGGCGGGCCGATGGTCAGAGAGGAATGGTGCGCTGCCGTCGATCTGTCCTGCCTGTGGATTCGCTGGCTGGCCGCCTTGGTTCCATCCATGGGTTAGGTTGGATTTGCCCGGCGGACTGGTAGGCGGGCGCCGGAGGAGTGAGCGCTCGTGAGATTCGATCTGGCTGCTCTGTCCTTCGGCTGGATTTGGGGGTGGTTAGGTTAGGATGAACCGCCCGCTGCTAGATTTGTGAAACTCGCTGCAGCGCCATGGCTCTGCTTCTTGGCCGAAGAGCATGCGTGGTCTGTGTAGTCAGTGACTCTGGACGCTGCCATGTCGTTGACTAAGAGTGCTGTTATTCTTATTAATGCAACAACTCGTATGTGTCGTGCAGATGAATGTCGACAAGCTGAAGAAGATGGCCGGTGCCGTGCGCACCGGGGGCAAGGGCAGCGTGCGCAGGTGCTTACTATGCTAGCTCTGTTACTCTTGTCCATGAGCAACGCCAAATTGGTTTTGCTATCAACACTAGTGTTTCCTGCTTTCAGCACGACATCTGTTCTATACATATATATCCAATCTGCCTGTGCAAATCGATCGTTTCAGACCTAAAATGTTTATACTCGGAATGAATGATTTGTTCCCTGTGAACCATTGCTGCTATCCTGAGTAGAAATGCCAAATTTGAAGCTTGCTGGCTGAGCATATTGATTATCATCCAACCATCACTGGTGTCACACTTCTAAATTGATGTGTCAGTGAATGCCGCCATTTAGTGGACGCATGTCAGCTTATAGAGTACAGAAATATGAAACATTTCTCCTATTGTTGTACTTGCATAAAAAGCTTTCTCCTAATGACAGGAAGAAGAAGGCCGTTCACAAGACCACGACCACCGATGACAAGAGGCTCCAAAGCACCTTGAAAAGAGTAGGAGTCAACACCATTCCTGGTATTGAAGAGGTCAACATTTTCAAGGATGATGTAGTCATCCAATTTCAGAACCCGAAAGGTGAAATTTCGACATGCTGAAGAACCATGACTTCTGCAGAACTAATGATCCACTCACACATTTCTTCTAACATTGGTATTTCTTGGATTCCTGCAGTGCAAGCATCTATTGCTGCAAACACATGGGTTGTCAGTGGAACACCACAGACGAAAAGTAAGCCCTGCTTTAGAATCTTCATGGCTTAATTGTTTCATTAAGTAGCCTTTTTTCTCTGGAGCAACATAAGTATCTCTTGAAGATATGTCAAACTGCTTTGGCAGTGATCTGATCTTTATGTGTACATATACCTTTAAGTTTCATGGGTACATAAATATTATAATGTAGAGGGCATATGATATCAACTTTAACTGCGTGTACATGGCTTTTGTACATCAAAGTTGGCAGTCTCATTATGTTTCGAAAGTAAAGTTACAGTTTACTAATGATGATATCATAAGGTTGAAGATGTACACCTTGCTACATACTATATACAGGCTTAGTTACTATATATTTTTCATTCTTGTTCCTCTTTAAGTTGGTTTACATATGCAATAAAAGTTGATGCAAACCGAACCATTAAATTCCAGCTGTACCATATATGTTCTTTGTGATTGTGAGCACTACATTCTTTGACTTTACGAGACTGCAATGTCATTTTTGGCCTTCTATTTTTTACAGAGCTGCAAGATTTACTGCCGACAATTATCAACCAACTGGGTATGTCCCCCTGTACATTCTCACATTAGTCTAGTCCAATAATTGCCTATGCTCTGGTGAAATGTCTTGCTCACTGTGTGAATAACACCATATACTTGAACTATAAGACAGTAAAACATCTGAACCAAGCAAGCGCCTTTGTACCATGTCTCAATACAAAATTCCTTGATTACAGGCCCTGATAACTTGGACAACCTGCGGAGGCTTGCCGAGCAGTTTCAGAAGCAGATGCCTGGCGGTGAGGCTGGCGGCGCCAGCATCGGTGCTGCCCAGGACGACGACGACGACGTTCCAGAGCTCGTCCCAGGAGAGACCTTTGAGGAGGCGGCAGAGGAGAAGAAGGAACCCGAGGCGAAGAAGGAAGCGGAGCCGGAGGAGAAGAAAGAGTCGTCGTCGTAATCTTGTCACGCCATTCATTGTTGTGAAGGGTTCCTTGTTGGTTGAGGGTTGATTGGCATCTTATTACTGTATATGCCGGAGACATGGTCCTGTGAGATCTCTGGCCCGTCTTTCATTTCTAGCGCCCCTCCGGTTGGTTTTGTCTCGGCCGTGGGTTCTGTCCGAACCACCGACGGCGGAACCGAGTTTGACGACAATTATCGTTTACCTTTCAAATGTGTTTGATATGCACAGTTCCAGTGTTTGATGGATAGGCGTCGTTCTCGGAAATGTTTGCCCCATCCAGGTCCGATCAGCGTCGGTTTATATTCAGGAAATTGCTATGTGCATGCCCAACTTTGCTGTTGTAGCGTGTGTTTCTTGTGGTTTTGTGGAGAAGTGCCGCTGAGAGGTTTATCATTTCCTTTTCTACCTAGAATCACAAGCGATAGCTGTACTGAGCTTGAGATGAAAAAAGATTTCAGTACTGTTGGATTAGGCCATAACATAATCAGTTTAGCTACATGTCAGTTGGATTAGGCCATAACATAATCAGTTTAGCTACATGTCAGTCAGCCGAATTTTGAATTCTGGTCAGTCGATTTTTTAATGAAGGAAGGACCGAGACTAGAGGGATGGCTGGGGTGGCGGAAGACCGGCGGTGGGGGGTGGTTCAGGGGAGGGCGAGGTGGTGAGGCGGTCATGGGAGCGCCGCCGGCTGCTGGTGGTGGTGAGTGAGAGAGAGAGGATGAACAGGAGGTGGATCGGAGGTTGAAGACGAAGTTTTGTCGGTTGAATCAGTCGAGACAGGAGGAGAAAGGATCGATTTTCAGTTGACTGTCACCTAACCGTGCCACGGCTGTCATTTCTTTGTGAAACTTCATAGGCGAGTATGGCACTCTACCATGTGAGCAGCAATTCGGTACCTAGGCTCGTCTGCACCTGTGATGAAGAAAAAATTCAAAACAAATACTAGCAAAAATTAAAAAATTCCATTGTTTTTGCATGATAGATAATTTGGTGCGTGAGGTGCGCTTTAAATTTCAAATCATTTGGACATCTGAGTAGTTCTCGGCAATACTAGCAAAAATTAAAAAATTCCATTGTTTTTGCATGATAGATAATTTGGTGCGTGAGGTGCGCTTTAAATTTCAAATCATTTGGACATCTGAGTAGTTCTCGGCAAAAAAGACAAATCTGGGTTATGTAAAAAAGTTTATTGTTCATGTATTGTTCTGACCCAATTTGTATTTTTTGCTGAGAGGTACTCATATGTCCAAATGATCTGAAATTAGGAGCGCACCTCGCGCACGAAATTATCTATCATGCAAAAAAAGCATTTTTTTGAATTATTTTTGTGATTTTTTTCTTGACCGGATGCATATGAGCCTGGGCTCATAAATGAATATTTGACTCTACCATGTGCCACCTCTATCCCTAAATATAAGACAAACTTCATACGCCAGCAGGGCACTCTACCATGTGCTACCTCTGTCCCTAAATATAAAAGATGTTTTTGTAATTTAATTTGAACTATAAAAACGTCTTATATTTAGGGACGGAGGGAGTATGTTATAAAAAAGCAGGAACGAAACGCTGCGAGAGATGATGGCGTCATGCGGAAGCAGGGACGAGGAGGGGGAAGTGGAGCCGTCGCGCATGACCACCATGGCCAGTTCCGGGCGGGGGCTTGCCATTTTCTCTCCAATATCACCGCTCCTGAGCACGTAGAATTATCGACGTGTTGGCGATGCGTGCAACTGACAGTTGAAGTGGGTGTGGAGAAGGTCGTTCTCGGAACGGATAACCAGTGCAGGTTTTGGCCCGCATAAGGGATACTCCCTCTGTAAACAAATATAAGAGCGTTTAGATCACTACTTTTAGTTTTAGTGTTCTGAACGCTTTTATATTAGCTTACTGAGGGAGTAGTGATCTAAACGTTCTTATGTTTTTTTTTGCGGGGTCGTTCTTATGTTTCTTTACAAAAGACTTGATTGATGGGGTGGATGAGCGCAAGGTGGTTTGGTTCAGACGAGCAACGAATTAAGCTCCTCATACATTCTTGCTATGTGTAAATGATTTGCATTCTTGGCTGAACGTTTCTTCGATGTGTACTGTGTTGGTGTGCATTCGTGACGTTATCGCGTCGGAGCATGACGTGAATAATTTTCAGTTTTTTCTTTTCTGACGGTCTTACTGGTTTTCTTGCGATCAACCAAAATTAAATTTTCTTAGATGATGAGGGATCAAACATCCCCGGTCCCATTTCATGTATTTCCTCTGTAAAGAAATATAAGATCTAAACAGAGAGGGGTAGTATATGTAAAGAAAGCATGTCTCATATGGATCGTTCAGCCACTACAAATATTCAGAAGAAGTAAAAACATGGGGAATTGTGTGGTTAAGATACTATTACAGCTCGAAAAACAGAGTGGGGAAAAGTTGATCTTCCAGGCAGCACTGCATCAGCTCCCTCCGGATCATGTGGACCGCATCTTCATCAAGCAAAAAATTAAAGTATTCAGCAGCAATGGGGAGGAGACCTGAGCTGAGCAGATCCATGAGATGTGATGCTGCATATATATGCCTCCAGCAGTGTACATTTCCTGGCCTCTCAAACATGTATAGGTCTCACAGCTTGAGATTCCATCTCCTGTACAGTACAGCCACAAGTCAGAGCCTACCCCTCTACCTACTAGCCTCCTTTCCTCTACATACATACATACATACATACATACATACAGACAGAGCAGAGCAATTCCGGTGGAAGTTCGTTCGCCGGCGGAAGCACGCGCACCAGCCGCCCAAGCCCGAGCCGACGGCCATCAGTAGCCGGTGTCCATGTGGAAAGCGTACGGAGGCCCGCCGTCCGCCTGCACGCCGCCGAACCCGTCGCCTCCGGCGTAGTACATGTCCACGCTCGGCTCCTCCGGCACCAGGGCCTCCCCCAGGTTCATCAGGTTGCCGCTGTGGTGGTACAGTAGCCCCCCGTCCACCCCCGCGCCGTCCCCGTCGAGCAGCAGCCGCGGCCTCTTGACCTCCTCCGCGCCCTCGTCCGGGCCGCCCCCCGAGCCTGGGCCGCCCGCGAGGCGGCGCAGCACGTCCGGGTCGCCGACCACCTTGAGGAGGAAGGCGAGCATCTGCTTGGGCCGGCGCTCCGTCTCCTGCACCCGGCGCCACATCTCCGCCACGCGCTCCTCCGTGGCCCTCTGCTCCTTCCTCAGCCGCACCACCTCCATCGCCAGCGCCGCGCTGCTGCTCTCCTCCTCCTCCTCCTCCCTGCTATCCTTGCCGCGCTTGCTGCTCTGGCGCCGGACGATGCGGGGGAGGAGGTGGGTCTGGCCGCGGAGGAAGGAGGCGTGCGCGAACTCCCACCGGTCCGGGTCCACCTTGCGGAAGCCGTAGGTGTTGAGCTGCCGCACGAAGCTGGAGAAGTTTGCGTGCTTGAAGTGCGCCGGCAGCAGCGCGCGCGAGAAGGCGAAGGGGTCGGCGACCACGAAGCTGTTGCCGGCGGGCCCCCACGCGACGACGGCGTCGGTCGCCCGGTCGTCCACCATCCCGTACGTCTTGGCCACGAACGGCGCCGCGCCGGAGCCCCCCGTGCCCGAGGACGACGACGACGACGAGTCCATGCCGCCGCCGCTCATCGTCGCGACGGTGAGGAGAGAAGAGAAAGGGAAGGTGCTTTGCTTGCTGCTGGGTGGGGAACGGACGGGGAGTGGATGGACTGCGACTGGGAGATGTGGAGATGTGTCAACCGGAGGTGCTCTCTATGTAGGCCGGATGTCGACGGGGGAGAGGAGGACAGGTGGAGCGACGCGTGGTGGCGCACGCGGCGGCCGCTCGTGGGCGGCGAGATTTTGTAGCCGCTGAGTCGACAAAAGCGGCCAAGTTGAAGCGAAGTATCCTCAGGAAACGGCCATTTTTATCATCCAATGCAGCGTCGCGTATGTCCGGAGGCGAGTCCCCTCCCCTCGCTCATCCGTCCGTCGCCCCAGGTGCCCTCTGTCCCTGCAGCGGTTGTCCACGGCGGACACCACACCCCAGAAATGTGTGTCCAAATGTCATAATCTTGCCATTTTTTTAATTTACTTTGATACTTCGAAACAAACACGGTGGATTCTGACAACAAGTACTTCTACATCAATTTCATGGAGTCTTCCTCGTCAGATGAGGATGAAACGGCGATGATGTCCTATGTTTTAAGAGCAACTCCAAAGGGCCGACCCATTTCGTCCGGCTGCGTCCGTTTGGGTTGGCGCGGACAAAAGTGGCGGCCCAACGCGCCGACCCAAACCCAAATCACGTCCGCGTCGCGTCCACGCCGACGTATTTGCGGCCCAAATTTGCGCCCCAAATGCATCGGCGCGGACGCCGAACGGACGCTTCGCACGCCTTCTCGCTATCCGCCGCGTCCCCACATGGCAGCCGTCCAACTACCCGCTGCCCATGCAGTCAGCTTAATTTATGACGACGGGCCCACGCGTCAGCGACGACGCTCGTCCTTTTTTAAGCCGACCGTGCGGCGGGGCCGTCCTCATCCAAACTCGCCGTCCACATCTACCCACCTTTGCTCCCTCGTCGCCGGCAAACCCTAGCCACCACAACCACAACGAGATGGGCCTCTTCTCCAGCGCCAACGGCAGCAAGGCCAAGGGCAAGTCACCCACCATCCCTTTCCCCTCCGAGTTCCTCCCACCTCCGCCGGCGCCGGCGCCTCACCGGCAGAGGCAGCGTGTCAACGTGCCAGTGCACCAGGCGGAGTGGCACTGGCAGAATCGCCAGCCTCTGCCGTATCCGGACATGACGCTGCCGCACGACTGGCATCTGGATCCCAGTGCCGGCGGCGCCGCGGTCGGCTCGTGCTCACGCGGAGGAGGTGCGGCGCCGGCGGGCACTGCTGTCGCTGGAGCAGCGCACCGACCCGGCCTACGCAACCGACTTGCCCAACTGGGCGAGGTGGTTCGCCTTCGAGCACGAGGAGGCGAGGCGACGGGGCGTGCGCGAGGTCGACCGGAGGTTGCCGCCAACGCCGCTCATCGTCCGCGAGGAGGACCAGGCGGCGGAGGACCAGGCAGCGAAGGACGCCTACTGTTGGGGAACGTAGTAATTTTAAAATTTTCCTACGCACACGCAAGATCATGGTGATGTATAGCAACGAGAGGGGAGAGTGTTGTCCACATACCCTCGTAGACCAAAAGCGGAAGCGTTAGAGCAACACGGTTGATGTAGTCGTACGTCTTCACGACCCGACCAATCAAGCACCGAAACTACGGTACCTCCGAGTTCTAGCACACGTTCAACTCGATGACGTCCCTCGAACTCCGATCCAGCCGAGTGTCGAGGGAGAGTTCCGTCAGCACGACGGCGTGGTGACGATCTTGATGTTCTACCGACGCAGGGCTTTGCCTAAGCACCGCTACGATATTATCGAGGTGGATTATCGTGGAGGAGGGCACCGCACACGGCTAAGAGATCCAAATGATCAATTGTTGTTGTCTATGGGGTGCCCCCTGCCCCCTATATAAAGGAGCAAGGGGGGAGGTGGCCGACCTAGGAGGGGGCGCGCCAAGGGGGAAGTTCTACTCCCACCGGGAGTAGGACTCCTCCTTCCCTTGTTGGAGTAGGAGAGAAGGAAAGAGGAGGAGAGGGAGAAGGAAAAGGGGGCTGCACCCCTTGTCCAATTCGGACCAGAGGGGGGGCGCAGGCCTCCTTCCTTTTTGGCCTCTCTCCTCTATTCCCGTATGGCCCAATAAGGCCCATATACTGCCCGGCGAATTCCCGTAACTCTCCGGCACTCCGAAAAATACCCGAATCACTCGGAACCTTTCTGAAGTCCGAATATAGTCGTCCAATATATCGATCTTTACGTCTCGACCATTTCGAGACTCCTCGTCATGTCCCCGATCTCATACGGGACTCCGAACTCCTTCGGTACATCAAAACTCATAAACTCATAATATAACTGTCATCGAAACCTTAAGCGTGCGGACCCTACGGGTTCGAGAACTATGTAGACATGACCGAGACACATCTCCGGTCAATAACCAATAGCGTAACCTGGATGCTCATATTGGCTACCACATATTCTACGAAGATCTTTATCGGTCAAACCGCATAACAACATACGTTGTTCCCTTTGTCATCGGTATGTTACTTGCCCAAGATTCGATCGTCGGTATCTCAATACCTAGTTCAATCTCGTTACCGGCAAGTCTCTTTACTCGTTACGTAATGCATCATTCCGTAACTAACTCATTAGCTACATTGCTTGCAAGACTTATAGTGATGTGCATTACCGAAAGGGCCCAGAGATACCTCTCCGACAATCGGAGTGACAAATCCTAATCTCGAAATACGCCAACCCAACATGTACCTTTGGAGACACCTATAGAGCTCCTTTATAATCACCCAATTACGTTGTGACGTTTGGTAGCACACAAAGTGTTCCTCCGGTAAACGGGAGTTGCATAATCTCATAGTCATAGGAACATGTATAAGTCATGAAGAAAGCAACAACAATATACTAAATGATCGTGTGCTAAGATAACGGAATGGATCATGTCAATCACATCATTCTCCTAATGATGTGATCCCGTTAATCAAATGACAACTCTTTTGTCCATGGCTAGGAAACTTAACCATGTTTGATTCACGAGCTAGTCAAGTAGAGGCATACTAGTGACACTATGTTTGTCTATGTATTCACACATATATTATGTTTCCGGTAAATACAATTCTAGCATGAATAATAAACATTTATCATGATATAAGGAAATAAATAATAACTTTATTATTGCCTCTAGGGCATATTTCCTTCACCTACCAGGCGGCCCTTGCGTCCGTCTATCGGGAGAGCGAGGAGGACGAGCGGCGGACAGCGGAGGCGACGAAGGTGGAAGAGGATGCCTGGTACGAGGCGGCAATGGCGCAAGCCCTTGCCCTCTCCGCGGCGAGCGACAACGTGGTGCCGTCGGTGGCCCCGCTGTCCCCCATCAAGCTGGAGCCGCAGCCGGAGCCCGAGCCCGAGCCCATCGCGCGCTTCTCCTGGAATGGAGTGGTGCGCGAGTGGGTGTCCGCGCCACCGGTTTGGCTGGGGGCGACGCCGGCGCTGGAGCAGGCGTACCTCGAGATGTGGCGCCAGCGCCGGCTGGCAGAGGAGCGCCTTGACAGTGAGTACGAGGAGATGCTCAAGCGCGACCTCGAGGAGGAGCAGCGCGAGGCCGAGGAGGAGGCGCGCCAGGCCGCGGCTGGACAGGCGGCCGCACACCCCCCATCCGGGCACTGCCTGCGCCGGAGGAGGACGAGCGGCGGAGAGCGGAGGCGACGGAGGCGGCGGAGGCGGAAGAGGAGGCCCGGTACGAGGAGGCAATGGCGCAGGCCCTTGCCCTCTCCGCGCGGGCGACAACATGGTGCCGTCGGTGGCCCCGCTATCCCCCATCAAGCCGGAGCCGCAGCCGGAGCCCGAGCCCGAGCCCATCGCGCGCTTCTCCTGGAATGGAGTGGTGCGCGAGTGGGTGTCCGCGCCACCGGTTTTGCTAGGGGCGACGCCTGCGCTGGAGCAGGCGTACCTCGAGATGTGGCGCCAGCGCCGGCTGGCAGAGGAGCGCCTTGACGGCGAGTACGAGGAGATGCTCAAGCGCGACCTCGAGGAGGAGCAGCGCGAGGCCGAGGAGGAGGCGCGCCAGGCCGCGGCTGAACAGGCGGCCGCACACCCCCCGCCCCGGCACTGCCTGCGCCGGCACAACCCGACATGACGATGCTCTGGAACACGGCGTTCGCCTGGGCCGGGCCGGCGCCGACGCTCATCGACCTCACGGACCCCGAGGACGACGCCGCCGCAGCTTAGGGCAGCGCGCCGCCTCGTAGTTTAGGCTGTTTTTTCAAATGCAAATGTGGACGCGTGGACTCTCGCTGGCCTTCGTGGTCGGCTTTAATGTTTAATTAATGATGGTTTTTTTTAATATGCATGCGTTCATTTTTGTTGGCGCCGTCAAAATGGGTCTCAGTCCAGCGTTAGGCGCACGCGCCGACCGAAATGCGAAAGAGAGCATCCGTGTCCGTCTGGCCGACCCAAACGGGCAAAAAGCGGATGAAATCGCCGTCCATTTGGGTCGGCCCATTTGGGACCAATCAAGGGACATCGAGTGTTGAATCGAAAGAGGACACAAGGGCATTTGACGATGATGAGCGTTTACTTTGCCCTATCCGCGAACAAATTTCACTGGAGAATGTTTTCGTCGACTCTAGACTGGTGTACGGGCTATGATGACTAATTCATCTTGAAGAAATATGTCGTGAAAATTGGATTCCATAGTTACCAGAAGCGCACCCTGCATTGAGGTGCTCGCATATGGCACCACCGCAGATTCATGGGACGAGTGCCTATGAATGTCTGAAAGCACATGCAGAGTTGCGTGGTGAGGTTTGTTACTACGGTGGTCAAGGTGTTTGTACTGCAGTATTTGAGAGAACGAACTGTCGCAGAAACCAAAAGGCTAATGGCACTTGGAAGCAAGAGGGGGGCCAAGTATGCTTGAATCCCTCAATTGCATGCACTGGAGATGGAAGAACAACCCATATGCTACACAAAGGGAAAATACCAAGCAATTGCATCACAAGACCTCTGGATTTGGCACGCTTTGTT